TAGATTTTTAGTTTAGTTTTTTTTTTTTAAAGATTTTATTTATTTGAGAGAGAGAGTGCAAGCAGGGGGAAGAGCAGAGCAGAGGGAGAGGGACAAGCGGACTCTGTGCTGAGCCCGACACAGGGCTGAATCCCAGGACCCTGAGATCATGACCTGAGCAGAAATCAAGAGCCAGATGCTTAACAAACTGAGCCATGCAGGCACCCCACTTTTTAGCTCTTCAAAGCTAAAAATAGATACGCTTTTTAGGGGCACCTGGCTGGCTCAGCCTGTGGAGCCTGTGACTCGATGTCAGGGTTATGAGTTCAAACCCCATAACAGGCGTAGAGCTTACTTAAGAAATGAAAAATAATTAAAAAGGACAGCTTTTTAAAACAGAGCTTGTATTCATGTGAGAAAGAATAAATTGAAGGAATTACTGGTTAAAGAGCTTAAATGATATAAATCAGATTTTGTGTGTGAACGCTTATGTGCATGTGTATTTTTTGAAGAAAATGTGTTTCAATTTGAGAACTGGAAAATTGGATATACTTAGTTATATTTTTATTTATTTAAAAAATAGAAGTGTTCTTTCATTATTGATTTGATTATTTTATCCTACAAAATGACTTACCCTGATTTGCCCTGCCTGTTTGTGGTTAAAATAAGGGAAATACCTTAAATCTGTGATAATTTTCAAATTATATAATTTTGAGAGGCTTTCTCCTCTTATATAAAATACAAGAAGAAATCTAGCTAGAAATTATTTTACCTTTTTTGCTATAAATTTTTTAATGGATTTGTGATATGACAGTACAAGTTCTATTGCCAGATGCTAATGATAAATTTTAAAATCTGTATTAGGAATTAAATATTATTGAGTTGATCTGCTCTCCTGCTCATAGCTGAGAACTTGTGGTACTGAACCATTCCTTTTTTTTTTAATTAATTTATTTGATGCTCAGAGCAAGTGTGAGTGGGCGGAGGGGCAGAAGCAGAGGCAGAGAGAGAATCTCAAGTGGTCTCCTCACGGAGCACACAGCCTGACGCAGGGCTTGATCTCACAACCCTGAGATCATGACCTGAGCCAAAACCAGGAGTCAGGAGGTTCAACCGACTGAGCCACCCAGATGCCCCTGTACCATTCCTTTTTGAATTAGATAGGGTGTATCCCCATTTTTTAGTGTTACTTATAGTCATATCCTTTATTTTAAAGGTTTTATATTGTAAATATTTGACTTGATATAAAATTACTTTTATGCAAGATAAAAGATGTACAGTCTTATTTTTTAGTTCATCATAGAATGTACGGGAGAATAACTGCAAGGAAAGTGGATAGTGTTTTTTTTTTCCCCTTTAAAATTACTGCTAAATACACCAGGAAACTGACACAAAACCAAATCCAAGGACTTACTCAGACATTACAGTTCAATTTTAGTTGCAAGAGTGAAGAAATCTTTAAAAAAATATTATACAGGGGCGCCTGGGTGGCTCCGTTGGTTGGGCGACTGCCTTCTGCTCGGGTCATGATCCTGGAGTCCCGGGATCGAGTCCCGTATCGGGCTCCCTGCTCAGCGGGGAGTCTGCTTCTCCCTCTGACCCTCTTTCCTCTCGTGCTCTCTGTCTCTCATTCTCTCTCTCTCAAATAAATAAAATATTTTAAAAAAATATTATACAGTCCATTTTTTATTTTTTTTATAATTTTTTTTAAGATTTTATTTATTTATTTGACAGAGAGAGACAGCAAAAGAGGGAACACAAGCAGGGGGAGTGGGAGAGGGAGAAGCAGGCTTCCTGCGGAGCAGGGAGCCCAATACGGGGCTTGATCCCAGGACTCTGGGATCATGACCTGAGCTGAAGGCAGACGCTTAACGACTGAGCCACCCAGGCACCCCCATTTTTTATTTTCTTGAGGAAATGGTAACTAGATACCTAATCAGAGTTTGTTTTTATGTTGGGGCAGTTTGGAGGAATTGAATGATGATCCTAGTCACTTGTATACTTCCATGGTAAAACTAAGCTTTATTTCATTTATCACTTGATATGTGCATTAGGAAAACTTCATAGTAGGGAAAAATTATGTGTACATACAGATACAAAATGTCTAAACTCATCTCTCATGAACAAAGGCTGACAAAGGAGGGTTGGGCTGAGAAACAGTATCCTGAAAATTATGGAAATGAGGAAAGGAGGTAGTGGGCACAGAGAACGCTGTCCTGCTCAGAGATCCCCAAAGAATCCCTGTCCCCTCCCCCTACCTCCTGCCAGAATGTTGGGTTTCAAAGAATGAGCAGATTAACGGATATCAGGAGTAGTGTGGCCTGGGCTGAGAATAAGGATAATTTGGGCAAATTATGAGTTACAGTATTGTTGGAATCATAACAGTCCGCCTACGGGGCATATCTGTGAAGGTAAAGGGAACTTAGCCAAGGAACATTAGAGCTTCTGCTGTTGGAAGAAGTCATATGGTAAGGGAACTACCAAAAGCCAAGAGCTAATAGAAATACAGCCCCAAAGTCTGTATTACTCAAGAGCTGCACAGCAGCAACCCCTTAGGGAGCCGGCCTAGATGTGGGGCTAATACCTAACTCCCTGAGTCTCACCATGCCAGGGATAGCTGTTGCTGTGGGACATAGGCCACGCAGCATCAACTGATTCACAACGGCCATGTCAATGGTAGCCTCTTCGAGACACTCTGCCTTTATACTGCCTTCGCTATGGAAAAACCAAGGGGCCTTGAAAGAGGGTAAGACAACGTTTCAGACTTGGGCTCGGCAAAAGAGGGACTTCAGGCTGGGACCAGTGCGAGAATATTCATGTGTCAGGTTGGGGATTGTGTTGCTGTTGGTGATTTTCCTGCCAAGCTTGTACTGTGACCCTGGATCTGTATATTACTCTTCTTATGAAACAGTCATCCCCAAGGGTCTGACAGTCAAGGGAAGGGAAGACCCAGGGGAAAAGGCATCCTATATGCTATTAATGCAGGGCCAGAAACAGGTGATTCACCTGAAGGTGAAGAGAGACTATTTTGTGAATAACTTCCCAGTCTTCAGCTACCACAATGGTGTCCTGGGGCAAGAAACGCCTTTCATCTCGCATGACTGTCACTATGAAGGCTACATAGAAGGAGTCCCAGGTTCTTTTGTTTCCCTCAACACCTGTTCAGGCCTCAGGGGCATCCTGATTAAGGAGGGGAAACCCTATGGCATTGAGCCCATGGACACTTCAAAACGGTCTGAACATGTACTGTACACCATGGCACACCAAGCTCGAGTCTCCTGTAGTGTCACCTCCAAAGGCAGCCAAGTGGTGTCCACCAGCCGGCAACAAGGGAGCAGGAAGCCTCGAAGTCTACAGGCACTGTCCTCCTTTTGGTCACACACCAAGTACGTGGAGATGTTTGTCGTGGTCAACAACCAGCGGTTCCAAATGTGGGGCAGTAACGTCAATGAGACAGTCCAGAGAGTAATGGACATCACTGCTCTGGCCAACATCTTCAGTCGGGAAATAAACACCGAGGTGGTGCTGGCTGGAATGGAGATTTGGACCGAGGGGGACCTCATAGAAGTCCCAGCGGACTTGCGAGTTACACTCAGGAATTTCAATAGCTGGAGACAGGAGCAGCTCTTCCATCGTGTGAGGCACGATGTTGCCCACATGATCGTGGGACATCATCCTGAAGAGGACATGGGACAGGCATTTCTCAATGGTGCCTGTTCAAGAGGCTTTGCAGCAGCTGTTGAAGCCTTCCATCATGAAGATGTCCTCCTGTTTGCAGCGCTCATGGTCCATGAGCTTGGGCACAACTTGGGTATTCAGCACGACCACTCGGCCTGCACTTGTAAAGATAAACGCTTTTGCCTCATGCATGAAAATATCACTAAAGACAGTGGCTTCAGCAACTGCAGCTCTGACCACTTCTATCAGTTCCTGCGGGAACACAAAGGGGCCTGCCTATTTAACAAGCCTCGGCCCAAAGGTCGCCTGCGTAGGCAAGCCACGTGTGGGAATGGCGTGTTGGACTACAATGAGGAGTGTGACTGTGGACCTGACTGTGGTAATAACCCATGCTGTGACCAAACATGTAGGCTGAAGGAGCATGCACAGTGTAGTGATGGACTATGCTGTTTTAATTGCCAGTTGAGACATAAGGGCTTCATGTGTCGTTCTGCTTTTGGAGAGTGTGACCTCCCAGAGTATTGTGATGGTACTTCTGGAGAATGCCCCAGAGACCACTATAAGCAAGATGGTACATCGTGTGATATAATTCACTATTGTTTTATGGGCCGGTGTAAGAACCCTGATACTCAGTGCATGGATATATATGGGTTCCCTGCAAGGTCAGCCCCAGAAGACTGTTATATTTCTATGAACACCAAAGGGACCCGGTTTGGAAACTGTGGCTTTGGGGCCTCACCTAGTTCAAAATATGTTAAGTGTTTTGATGAGAATATATTTTGTGGGAAACTTGTATGTACAAATATTAGACAGATACCAGCAATCAAACACCACCATACATTGATCCAGGTCCCTCATGAAAAAGACTTCTGCTGGAGCATGGATGCCTATAATGATACTGATATCCCTGATGACGGAGATGTGGACACCGGCACCCTTTGTGCCCCACACAAAGTCTGCGTGAATTACTCCTGCATTGATCGTGCTGTGTTCAAGTATGACTGTGAACCAAAAGAAATGTGTAATGGGAGAGGAGTTTGCAATGATTTAAGGCACTGCCATTGTGAGGAGGGCTATGCCCCCCCTGACTGCAAAGCTCCAGGAAATGGGGGTAGTGTGGACAGTGGTGCCCCCGGCAAATCACCTAATGAAAATCTAAGTGCAGGAGGAAGTGGCATTATTACTAAACGTAAGAATGAAATGAACATTATTGGCAAGGTAATTTTCATACTCCCCGCATTTCTTTTACTATTATTGTTGATTTTAATACTTTTCATTAGCCTTAGGGCTGGAATTGAGTCAATAGAGACGCCAGGAGGCTCCTCAGAGGAGACCTCAGAGACCACAGAGACTACTGAGGACACACAGGACTTAGGAAATAAACCCGCGGATATTTCAGAGATGGGTCCAGAGGAGACTCCAAAGGAAGCCCCCCAACCACAGGAGGAGCCCCCACCGCAGGAGGCCCCTCCACCGCAGGAGGAGCCGCTACCCCAGGAGGCTCCTCAACAACAGCAGGCCCCTCAACAACCGGAAGCCCCACCCCCCGAGGCCCCCCCGCTCCCCGAGGCCCCACCCCCCCCGGAGGCCCCCCCGCCCCCGGAGGCCCCTCCGCCCCCGGAGGCCCCCCCGCCCCCGGAGGCCCCCCCGCCCCCGGAGGCCCCACCGCCAGAAGTCCCAGGAGCTCCTGCACCATAAGAGGTAGCAGGTGAAGGACTAAGGAGTAACCGAAGGCAGAAGAATAGTGGAGGAAGAAGCCAAATACATCAAATACCTCAAGCACTGAGTGGGAATGAGAGGCTCATAGAGGCAAAGGTGAAGTGAGAAATGATGGATCCAGTGGCTCTAACTGGACTATGTAGTCTAGAGAAACATAGTAATCTGGGAGGAGGAAACCAGCTTTCAATATTTACTTTAGCAATTTGGTTATACATCGATACATGAAATCATATACAAAATATTCTGTAGTATTGCCTTTGCCCATTTCATGAAAAAATTTTATTTAAGCTCTTCTCATGGATCATTGCATCAATATCCTGTATCACTTGGTTCAATTTCTGAGCTAAAATTATTTTTCAGGGCATACCATCTTCCATCTACATTGTTTCACCCAATTGTATTATCTGTATCTATATTATTACCATCCCGGGATTATTCACACAAGTCACATCAATGCATTATTTTAGGAACCATATCTACTGAGTACTCTAATTTACCATGACAGTTTCCGTTCATGAAACAGAGGTAATTTAAAATAAATAAAGGCAATTTTTGGATGAAACATTACTTCAGCCTCGATGCAGCCTAGTAATTGGGGGCTTTTATATATTGGGGCTGTCTGGAAGAGGCTGCATCTGATTCAGGGATCCAGTGGAACGGGGCAGGGTGGACAACTGAGGCCAGTGGACACATACACAGTATTGAATT